CTTAATCCATCAAAAATTAATACCGTTGAGAAAGGTGTAATAGAATAAGCATATTCATTCGTTTTCTTTTTACTAATAGTTCACTTCTGAATTTTTACTGTAAAAATTTGTCTAGCTAAGTTCTCTATATACACAGAGTCTTAGATGAAAATACGAGTGTTCCGAAATCCTAGAAACTCAATAGCTCAATTAAATCCAAATACTTTTTAGAATTTCTATTAGAATACTATCAAGTATATACATATATAAGCCTAAAAATTGGTAGGAAATCTTTTGAGAATGATCCTTTGTTAGTCTTAATAGAATATTTCTTTTATTTCATCTATCCTTCGTATTAAAACATTTCTACGATAAAAACCATATGATTACAACTAGGCTTGTTGTTATTTATGCCAATAAAAAAGCTCACACTTATTAATTTTAGTAAAATATGTATTTATTTTTAATACGAAAGAAGAAAATTATTGAAAAAGAATCATTTGTTTACACTCGCTGTACCACCACCTATTTCAACTGATAATTGATCGGGTGAAATATAATCTTTAATTGTGTTAGCATTAACAAATTTAATAAATTGTTCAGATTCACTTGCCATCCAAGTACGAATTAATTTCCAAGCCGCTGTAAGAACAAAAAAAAAGAAATATTCTCTAAAATCCATGATGTAAAAACCTATACCTGTTAGAAGAAATGGCATTTTAAACATAAGCATATAAGCTATAAAAGAAACAAAAAACATATTATAATAAATATTAAAATAAAATCAAACAAATATACCTAATAAACCTGGATAAAATATTTGCATACTAGCAATAATAAATTTAACTATATCATAATCCTGAATATATAAATAATAAAATGAATTAAATATTTAAAAAAAAAAACAAAACAATATAAGTAATTCAATTTACCAAATGTCCAATACCAGTTTCACTCATATCAAAAAGAAGAACAATTTTTTCATCAGGATGTTCTCGAATATGTTGTTCAAAATTATATATTAGAAAACGTTTAATTGCTTCATTATTTTCTTGTCCTTTATGAAACTTACGAACAAGAAAATGTACTAATAATTAAAAACAAAAAAAGAGATATATTTAATCAACAAAATAAAACTTTCATATTTACATATTGGATGATTATATTTATCACGATTTTCAAAATAGATTGCACGTCGATCAAAATATTCAGCAGGAAATTCATTTGTAGAAATATCTATAAGAAAAACTTTTTATATTTAACTAGCGACTTTTCTTTTTAGTTTTTTTTCTACCATAAACATTATGTCGTTTTCTCCAACTCATTGATCCATTAAAAATTTTTAATGCTCGTTCTTGATTAAAACTTGTACCAAATTGACCATGTTGTATATACATTAAAGTATATGGATCGATTGTATTAAAACGTTCAATATCTCTAGTATCATATAGTTGACCTTCAGAAATTTGTTCTAAAAAAAAAAAAAAACTTATAATTAAATTAAAATGAAAAAAAGAAAAAGATAAAATAAATTATACTTTCAAAATGTTCATTAATTAATTTACGAAATTCTTCAACCTTCACCAAACAAAAACAAAAAACAATAACTAAAATAAATACTTCAACTAATTTCAAATTTACCGTTACAAATGTTTGAAAGTGTGGTATTGATACCGCCATAGATTTCAACAACAAAAAAACCTATTAAAAACGATGTTTATTATCTTACCTTATGGACAAAATGAAAAAGATAATATATATATATATATACTTACTAAGCGATTTAATCACATACAAAAAAATAATATGCTGAGAAAAACCATCGTTTTAGTATTTATAAATATCCATACATGCACGTCATGCATATCAAGGTTAGATAAAATACTGTGATTATAACAAAGAACAGGAAGAAAAAAAATGGTAATTTTTTTCTTTTCTTCATATTTGAATCATTTTACCTGTCTATATATTAGTGAACATCATGATTTATTATTCTTAGTAATCAATGACATAGACAATATTAAATGCGTATGATATATCTTATTGCTTAATAAGAACAAAAAAATTAAGATACTTAATTCTTCTTTTTTGTTTTATTTAATAAACATTAAATTTCATATTTTGAAATTTATCTGTTCAACTAATTAAGCTATTGCATGAAAATATTATCATAAAATATTCATTTATTGATCGGCTACTTAACAATAGTTGATAAAAACTAGAAGTAGTTAGTTAGAATCAGTTTGTAAAACATTTCATTTTCGCCATTCAAGTTTTTTCCGCTACAACAGATCAGAATCTTTTCTTTCAAAGGTCGAATTCCAATGGCATTCAAAAATTCGTCTTCTATCATTTTTAATTTCCAGATAAGGATCTTATTTAGAAAAAAAAATGTTGAATCCACCTTAGAATCAAAATATTACATCGCTTTCGCAATTTCCTTCTGGAATATAATAGGGCAACGATCGTCAGAATTATTTGAAAAGGTCTAAAATAATACTATTTTCATCAATTTAGTATTTCGATTAAAATCTATTAAATTCAATTATGCGAAATAATTATTAATAGTTCAGTTTTGTTTAGTCTATAAAGTATGCTATTTATTTTTCCAATTTAATCTTGCTTGATTTTTTTAAAGTCAGCTAAAATAATTTTTTCCTGAATCTTAAATATATAATCATAATTCAATTTTCTATCATGCATGATTAAATATTTCATCTAAAAAGATGATTGACATGCTGCTAAATGAAAACTATGAAATAAAACTTGAAAAATTTTTAATTTTATTTAAATCTATAATTCACTTATGACATCGAAGTTTGAAATAATACTTGAATTATTTTATCAATTCATCATGATCAACCATCATAGAAAATATTAATGTAAGAAATTAAGGTTAACATAAATATATTATATAATAGTTCAGTTCTTACCTATTAGTTTTATGTAGCTAACGAGGGAAGGTTTCCAAGTGTGAGTCTGAGTTTTGAATAGGATAGATACCAGTTTGTAGAGCTCGACGAGCTGATTCTCGTGGTATATTTTGTTTTTCCCATCAAAGCTTCATTCGTGCAGAATATAACTCAAAATATCAAAATTTCAACATAATATTATCAAAGAAGATCAATCTTAAAAGCTGGTTGTAGCTGTTTCACTGATCAGATGCTTTATTTGAATTTCTTGACACCCATTTTGTTTCTTGTTTAACAAGATATAGGAGGTATAAGGAGGCATAGGAATTGATTTTTTCGAGCAAGAATTGGCAAGTGGCACCAGTATATTTTATGAATAGATGTTTAAATTCAAATATTATTGAATGATCATCTGTACCAATTAATCAATATCTCCTACACCTTCTTATACCTCCTATATCTTGTTAAACAAGAAACAAAAGGGTGTCCAGAAATTCAACTGAATATCCTGGAAATTCAAATAATGCATCATACGCAAAAAATCGAAGGTATCTTTTTAAAACCTTTTGTTTGTCGATATTGTTATCTGTTTTTTTATTTTATGTCGATTTATACATATATTAGATCATCATTGGCTATATTGGTAATGCCTTCTAATGAAAAAAAAATATGACAACATCCATCACCATTAACTAGTTGAGTCGAACTTTAATAGGCTGTGCAGCAAAGAACAAATTGACTTTTGAAACTTCGAATTACTTTTCAGTATTGCACATCATTCTATTCTTTCTTGATTTATGCATAAACTTGTAAATTTTTTTTTATGCTTCGAGATATTCAATGATTCAATGTTGTTGTTCAAAATTCTATATTAATCTATATTGTACAAATTTATCATTTGATGTGACCTAAGAAATTCAGTACATAATACGATTTTATTCGTGTAAAAAAAAAAAAGATAAATCTGTAATGTATTTGATATTATATTTATTTTACTCACATCTAACATGAACGAAAATAAAAAATAAACTTCTTTTTGTTCGCCATTAATGATTGTCACGCATCATGAAAAAAAGAAAACAATGAACGCATTGGTATACAAATAACCGGACAACAATGAGAACGCTATTGGTCTGCTTATACAATAATACATATCTTTAAATAATGCTTGCACATCACAAATGCGATAAGAAAATGAATATTAGCAAAATAGAGTCATTAGCAAATGAGTTATGGATACTCATTTTCGATTATTTATCCTCTTTCGATCTATTCAAAGCTTTTTTTGACATAAAAAATGAACGTATCAAACATATAATAATGTCTCAATCTCTTGTATTAGATGCAAGAATAATGTCATATGCACAAATGAATAACATCTTCAACATGTCAAACTTCTCCAATCTATTACGAACTATTATTCTTAATAATTCATGTGCCTCTTTAGCTTTCTACGAACATTGGAGAGGAATGACATCACCAAATTACTTAACGCCATCAATTCAACGATTAGTTATTATCGAAATAGAATATTATACGTATAGCATCGTCTATCTAATTACACATTTAACACTTGGTAACACTTTTCAATATCTTCATCTTGTATTCGAATATCCTAATGATAAATACATGGACGTTCTCATCGCATTGGTTAAAACTCAGACATCACTGCATAGCATGATACTTGAAGTGAAAAACGGTATGTAACAGCAATAGTACTTAATAATGAAACTTAAGATAAATTCAACACAAAAAGAAAGAAGAGATAATAAAAGAGTAAAAAGAGAATAGAAAACATGTTAAAGCTATTAGCTCTTATGGATTATACTGTCATAAATGTGTTAGATGTACTTCGCCAGACTTCAAAAGAGGGTTCCACAAAGTACAAATCTACTTATCAAAAAGATAACAATCTGAATCATTATTCTGGCTTATTGAGTTTGAAAATTAGAACATATACAAAGTTGTAGTCCTCATAATGCTATGTAGTTTATACCTTGCTTCTATTAAGACTAATTTCGAAAGAAAGATATTAAATAGTTAATTATTGAATTCATTTTTCAAGGTCATCGTACATATACGAAAGATATATACTCACATTTATTTGAAATGAAAACTTTATTTTGGTCACGTACTGTTCATTTAACTTTGAGTGTACAATATCCATTTGAAATTATAATCATTCTTCAAAATGGTGCTATACCACTTCTGGAACATTTAAGTATAACATTTGAACAAGAACAATACGAAGAGAAACCTTATTTAAAAAAGCAGCAACCACACATTCAATTCTGTCAATCTGATATTCATCGAATGACTGATGCTACTAAACTTCAGACTCTTCTATTACGTCATTTGGCTCTCAATCAACTTATAATATTACTCAATTCTCTCAATATGCCTTTATTGAAGAAATTAACGCTTGTTGATATATTCGATGAAAGTAGGTTATAAATATTTTGCGTTTATGCATTTCTAAGAAATTTAGTTTTTCAATATGATTATGAACACTCAATTTCTAGGATATATATAAGATAAAGGTTTAAAATTGAAAGAATCTTCCTTTTAAAAAATTTGTTTTGTACAAGTTAATATTATATGTTTATATATTGCTGTAAACAATCTTCTTCACACTTTATATATTAGATATGAGATAAATTGTTTACATAGCACTTGAAAATCTTGATGAATTTCGTCGTGTTGTTGATCACAATAATTTACCTGCTTTGAAACATCTTTACTTTCTATTTTGTTTTCCTGAAAATTTTAATAAAATATTAAACATTTACTTGATGAAATATGGTAACATATGGCCCTTCAATAATATTGGTTATCATCTCGATGAGCACATTATTTTCGAAGATTGTAATGCGAAAATTATCATGAAAACAGTTCTTCTCTTTTACACATGTCCATTTGATATATTACTACAATATATACGTACTGTACACAATCATTCGTTTGCGAAACATTCAAATATTATTCAACAGCGATCAATCGAATGGATCTGTGATAAGTTAGATAGTTTTAATCAATTGAATACTACTTTAAATGTGTTAGCTGCTGGATATTTGAACACACTTCACTTACATTGTTATAAGATGAAGGTTAGAATTTTAATAGACTTCATTTTCTCAGTCGTTTTCTATGTTGATAGTTATGTATTACAAGTAGTCAAAAAAGTATCCGAAGATCTACGTATTTTTTTTCATATTTTCTTGGGCTGCGAGCCAGAAACAAGAGATATTATTTTTCTTTTTTAGTTAATAGATAGTCGTCCCCACTTCATATTAGATTTTATATAAAAATAATCAATTTTGATTATCATTTCGAATTACAGGAAGCTTTTTTTTTTACAAAAATGCCTCATTTTTTCAGTAGGTTGAGAGCAAGACTCTTATAGTTTTCATAAAGGTGCTCATTTTTTCGACATCAAAATTATATTATATGCATAACATTAGAAGGAGAAAACCTGACTCTATCTATTGACATGATTTTCAAAATAAAAGTAACTTTTACAGAAGAGTCTTGCCCTGAACCTACTGAAAAAAATGAGGCATTTTTGTGAAAAAAAAAGCTTCCTGTAATTCGAGATGATAATTAGAATTGATTATTTTTATAGAAAATCTAATATGAAGTGGGGATGACTATCTATTAACTAAAAAAGAAAAATAACTAATATCTCTTGTTTCTGACTTGCAAACCAAGAAAAAACGTAGATCTCCAGATACTTTTTCGACTACTTGTATATTTTGAATAAATATGTAAAACAGTTAATCGAATAAATATATATTAAATGTTAAATAGAAATTTTCTACATTGAAATGTAAAAGAAATTAAGTTTCGATAGAAAGAACTAATTTCAACTTATTGTAGACATTCGAAATGTGTGCATCAATGCAATTATTATTTCTTTGTTTTTAGACACCTATTAAAATGAATGTAACCAAATCATTATGGTCTGATCTATGTTTTCGTCGATTGCTCTCTGTAATTTTCACCTTCGAATATAACACGATGAAACGATCACAACGTGTTTACATTATTGATCAGATACTTAATGTATCACCTCGGCTATCATCTCTCGTTGTAGAATGGAATGATTTTCGTTCTTGTACATCTTCTAATACCAATGTCAGATATGTGCATCTCATATTAAAGATAAATTACAATGATCCAAATACTCACATTGATGTTAATCATCTCTTTCGACTATTACCCGGTATATGTTCTATAGAGACAAGTGATCGGCATATAGCATTCAATCAGAATCTTGTCAACTTTGTTTTGAAAATTATCAATACATTTCATCAACTTGTTGAACTGACTCTAAACAAAGAAGGTTGGTTGCCGGTCAAGCCAGAAAAGCAGCTAGCAATCAAAGAAGCAATATTGGCCACTGGCAATAAGCGACTACTCGATTCTAATACATATCAAATAACATTTCCTAAAGGAGATAAACTTACAATATGGTTGTAACAATTTATTCTGAATAAATAAATATTAAATTCAATTAACATATAATCATGAAAATCACTTGACTCTACCAGTAATGGTTTTTATCGAAATAAATAATTACATAGAGTTAAAAATAGAATGCATTGTTTATGTTGTAATTGCCTGATTTTAATATGAAATGATTTCTCTTATTCATTTTGCACTATATTTCATGTTATCTATTGTGGAGAGTAAATGTAGAAAATCTCAACATTAATATTTAATAGTTTATGAAAAAGCCATATTTTGACATTTTTGAGGATTTAAAAAAGTTTTTACTTCTCAAAACGGTACAACAATGTTCTAATATACTTATTTATTTTAATGTCTGTTTTTATATATGCTGGAAAATATTTTCTTTCTTTGAAAAATTTAATCTTAGTTCTACTATTATATCATTAGAAGATGTTATTTTAATCTATATTTTTATTTAAAAATTTGCAACTGTACTACAAATATAAGAATACAAAAAAGAAACACATCGTTTTGAAACAGATGTTTGTACAAAAATTGAATACCTGCTATAATAAAATGAGAATATGTCATTGTTTTAGTAAATGTCAATATTGATAAAAAAAAGAAAAGAAAGTTGATTTATGTTCGAAGTGATGGTTGTAATAAACGTCG